AGCAAGGTCAGTGTGGCTGGAAAGGAATGAGAGAAATATGTAGGGGCAGCTCCTCTAAGGTCTAGGAGGCCTGTGATGGCTTCGGCTTTGACATAGAGTGAAATGAGAAGTCTTTGGAGGGTTTTGAAAAGTAGAGAGACAAGATCTGATTTACAGTTTAAAAGGATCACTGGCTTCTATCTGAGTGAATTTAAGGGTTGAAGAGAGGAGGCCAGTTGGGAAGCAACTGTAGTAATGACGATGGCTTGGTAGAGGTGTTGGGAAAAAGATTCTGGACATATCTGACAGTAGAGCAGATAGGATTTCCCGAGGGATTGCGTGTAAGGTATTGGAGAAAGAGAGGGGTCGAAGATCATGGTCCCAGGCCTTTGCCTACAGAGCTAGAAGGATGTATTGGGTTGAACCAAATGAAGTTGACATATTTCACTGTTCTTAACTTTAAAAATGGCAATTTCATATATTTCAACTTAATAGCTGCCCTTTACTGTGAGGGGTAAAACTACATGAAGAAGTGGGGAAGGTATCAGAAGTTTATTTTTGGACCTGAGAAGATGTCACATAGGCAGCTGAATGTATGTATATGGAGTTCAGGGGCCAGGCCCCAATCAGAAAGGTACACTAAGGAGTCAGAGTGTAGATGGCAGTTTAAACTCTGAGACTGAATGAGGTTAGTAGGAATTAAATGTAGATGAAGGCCGGAGGACTGAGCTGGGGCTTCCAGCATTTCCAGATCAGAGAGATGAGGAAGCAGCAAAGGAAACACAGGTGGCCACAACTGGCAAAACAAGGGCTCCAAACAGAGTTGTTGGCTCAGGGGAGGGCTCCTGGATGTAGGTATGAGTAATTTCCAACGTTGCTCCCTCCTTGAGCATTAGGAAGAATGTGTGCGCGTGTGTGTGCGTAGGGGGGATGTGATAATATCTTTTATATGACTAGAGTTTGGAAGTTGCAACATTTCTTCTATTTGATCCAGGCAATGGCAGCGCAGGTGCTACCATCCCATCTTACAGGTGAGTAAACCGAGGAGCAAAGGTTAGGTTACTTGCCCAAATAACAGGCATATCTTATTTTATTGTGGTTTGCTTTATTGTGCTTCACAGATGTTGCATTTGTTACAAATTAAAGGCAAGATCCTCCACCAGCAAAAAAATTACAACTTGCTTTATTACGGAGGTCTGGAACAAAACCTACAATAGCTCCAAGGTACGCTTGTTTATCAATAAGCAATTAAATGATGAGTATAAATAAAATCTGAAAAAAAAAAAAATAGGTAGCAGACCTGGGATTGGAATGGGTTGTGTCTCTGAAGTTTCATGCTCTCACTGAATCATGCTGCTTTTGGGGGTTGAAGTTTCCCCAAGGAGACTGTTGCAGAAGTACCCAGCGAAGACACCCATGGGAATGAGTGATACAGGAGATGAAGTCTTTCTGTCCTTCCCACTGTGTGGTTTGCATGTTCCTGTGTTCCTACTGACTGCTTCTGCGGGAACAAATCGTAACAGGGTTACACGAAGATGAAATGAGTTTTAAACTTGCTGATGATCTTGCCCTTAGAGGGGTCTGGACCCATGATCTCAGATGCCAAGAATGCCAGCTCAAATGAATCTATTTCCTTCTAGAAGAAAACAAAATCAGAAGGCCTTATTTGGAAGATTTTCACATTGGGTGGGGATAGTGATAAACTCACTTCGATTTTAGCTCCACTGGTTAACAGGTACTTTCAGACATCGAGCAGCTTCTGGGTGCCTCCGCTCACTCCACCAATGATGAGTTTTGTCTTACCCCTTCTTAGTGTCTTGCTCAAAGTGTTTCATTCTTTCCAAACTTATTTTCTTACCTTGGAAAAGCTGCTCCTGAGATCGGAGGCTTCACTGGTCAAGCTTGGCCCTGCCCTGGGGAGAGATAAACAGACCCAAATACATTTCCCAGATTGCAACACTGGTGACTCAGGCAGGGTCAGAAGCTGCTCCCTCACGGCGCCCCTGGTTGTTCCTGATAAGAAAGAACATGGCTCATGCCAGCGTGCTGCCGTGTGTGTACACACATAAACAGACACTCCCAGGCCCCGGTGTTGTCTTAGAGTAAATTATTGACATTCTGAATGGCTAAACATTAGGAAAAAAGGTGAGCGCAAACTTATTCTGCTCGCAAGGAGCTCCAGGTTCCGTAAGTTGAAAATAAGTAAGACCAGGGCTGTCATTTGGCGCCATTTGGGAGCCACCTTTTGAACCTCCTTGGTCAAGGGCAGGTTCAGGAAGTCCTCTGAAGCTCTGGGAAGAGGAGGAAAGGGTTGCAATGGAGGATGGAGGAGAAAGTCAGAAGAGGAGACATGAATGCACAGAGAGAAAAGGTATATTATTAAAGTGTGAACATATCTTTACCACAAAGAGAAGGAATTGATGCTAAGACATCTTTTAAAAAATACCAAAAAAAAAAGTCAATGCCCTTTCCTTTAATGACATACAGTGTATAAGGTGTGGGGCAAATGGGGAGGTTGATATTAATAATACAATAATACGGCCACAACATCATTTTACACCTTGTAATGAACACTTCACGTTACCTTTATGAAAAGCAGTTTACAGTTTACAAGGGGCTTTCCCATTCATATTTTCCATTTACTCCATCAGCCCACTCAAGTTATGAGCCACATTTTACAGATGAGAAAATTGAGGCTCCAGGAGGATATATGCAATTAACTGAAGCATAATTAAGAGCTGGGGAGGGGCAGGTTTGTTCTAAGCAACCCAGAGCTAAGATATTTACTAGACACACTAGGAAGGGTGATTCCTTTTCAATGTCTGCTCAGAGGGCTAAATCTCCATTGCATTTCTCGATAGAGCAGACCTACCTTGTCCAGAACAAGCTTCTCCAACTAAACACCCTCTGATTAGTTTTGCTTAGCACTCAGATCACAGCAACATAGCATCCTTGAAGATTAAAGCACCGGGGAAGTTTTCTAGATCCACCCCAAGCTCATCTTTCTCCAGTGTCCCATCCTTCACTAGTTCTGACTGTTCTGGAAACAATACCTTTGGGGCTTTGAAACTTGCCACCTTGCTCTCAGGTGGGGAGGAAACACCCTCATTTGCATAAGACATTATGGAAGCACAGGACCCACCTAGCAGGGTCATGCAGGTGTTTTCAAAGTGCTGATGCCTATTGGAATCTTCAAGCAGTGGCTCTCAAACTTTGGCCTGCATCACAACCATCTGGGTAAGTTGTTAAGGACACAGATGTCCAAGCCCCACCCAGACCTTCTGAATCAGAATCCCCAGGGGTGGGGCCTGGATACTTGTGAACTTAACAAGCTCCCCAGGTGATTCTAAAATATACCAAAGCTTGAGAGGCATTGTCTCAGGTGAAGGAGAGTGGGGAGCCTTACTGGGAGAGGAGGTAGCAGAAAGAGCCTAGAAGAGACACAATCAGGATTGATTTTCTGCTCCATTTTTATCTTCCTTCAACAAAGTGATCAAATAAAGGTTGTTAGAAATCCCTTACATTCAGGCATGTCCTCCTTCTGACAATTGCTATGCGTAGTACAAAAAAACAATGCACCCCTTTCAGAAGCAGTTAAAATAGCTCATCTTTTTCAGAAAGTAGACTAGAGGTTCTCAGACTGGGGGGAGTAGGGAATGAATGAGGAGTTACTGTTTAATGGGTACAGAGTTTCTGTCTGGGGATGATGAAAAAGTTCTGGAAATGGATAGTAGTGATGGTTGCACAACATTGTGAATATCTTTAATACCACTGAACTGTACACTTTAAAAATGGTTAAAATGGCAAATTTTATGTATGTTAAACACACACACACACACCGGCCTTTTTGAGGAATAGAATGATAGGAGTAAACAACATTCGACTTTAGCTGATTGCTGCTGATTACCTCAGGTGTGTGTTGTGTGTGTTTGGGAGGTTACATAAGGGGACTGATAAAGTGCAAGTGAATTTGTAGATAAAATTTAAAAAAAATGGATGGCAGCAAAAATATGACATAGAGATACCTAAAACACTCTATCCTGCCCCTTTTGCCTGGTTGACTCCTGTGTTTTATATCACTTTTTTTGGAGCACCTTGTAGAGCAGTGTCTCTCAAACTACACTGCATATAGAAATCACCTGGGGACCTTGTTAAACTGCAAATTCTAATTCAATAGGTCGGAGGTGAAGCTCTAGCCTGCATTTCTAACAAGTTCCCAGGTGATACTGACACTCTAGATCCACAGACCACAAATTAGGGAGGGCTGTGTAAATGTAGTTCGTCCTGATATCCTCATGTCTAACAGAGTGATTGGTACACAGTAGGTGTTCAACAAATATTTGCTGAATGAATGACAGAGTATATTATATAGTGTTGTTATAGGAGTTTGGAGGAGAGACAATCTTTCCTTTGCTACAAAATATTTAAGGTGTTTCTGCTTTTATCAGTTATTCCCTTTGAAAAATTACTTCATATTCTGTAGCATAAGGATGTGAGTACTAAATTATATTTGGCCTTGCTACCTTGCTGCCTCAACTCTAATCCTTGAGATAGTGGCCCTATCTATACACATGAAGGATAATGAACTGTGGTTTGCAAGCTTCTGAGGAAGCTTTACTATAGTCTACGATCGCTGCAAACAAATTATCTTCATCCAAGGAGGGAGCAGAGTGCAAGGAACCTGCTGACGCGGGAATTTCCAGATTTTGGTGCCTGAGCAATTGCCACTTTGACCTCCTCAAATCAAATAAACAGCCTTTTTAATAATGTGAAAAGGAGGTTCATTACCCTAAAGCACACGAAAGTCATAACATTGCCATTATTTGGTATTATGGTTTACGATGATGATAACGACACTGGCAGTTGAGCGATTAAGTGTGTGGGGGAGTTGGGGGAGGGGGTAGAGGGCTGTGAAGATAGGAGAAAGAGGAACTACATCTCCCAGAATCCCCCGGAAAAGTACACGCCGCGGCGGCAGCGGCGCCCCACCCCTGTGCCCCCCCCCCGCCGATGACGTCACAGATGTGACGTCACGGCGTCCAGAGCGAGGCTGGGGTAGAGAGGCCGACTGAGCTGGAGTCGTCCGCTTGTCGTGGAGGCTGCTAGGGAGCCGGCGAGGGGGTGAGCGGGCGAGCAGAGCAGCGAGCTACAGCAGGCAGGAGGGAGCGTCGCGCGGCACTGAGTAGCGCCAGGGCCGGGCCGCGGCGGAACCCACAGCCGGAGAGAGGCAGCCGGAGCCGGGCGCCGCGGGGTCCCCACCCCCACTCGGCCGGACAGTGCCCGGTGTTCCCCCGTGCGGGGGGCGGCGGCGGCGGCTGACTGGACGGGACAGGACCGAGGGGGTGTTGCCACCTCCACCGAGGAGCCGGCGCGGCCGCGGGCTCCTCAGAGCCGGGGCCCGGGGCCCGTGACAGACGGGCCGAGGAAGGGAGAGCAGCGGCGGCGCAGGCGACGGGGAGGCAGCGGCGACACCATGTCATCCCCCAGTCCGGGCAAGAGGCGGATGGACACGGACGTGGTCAAGCTGTATCCTTCGCGGAGGGGGGGTTCGAGCTGTATGTGGGGGGGGGCGGTGTGGGGATGCCTAGGGCACCCCCTGAAACCCAATCAGGGGCCCTAGGGCACTCCAGGCCACTGTTCGAGGCTCCCTCCCTTCTTTCCCTCCCCCCAGTGCCTACGGCGGCTCCTTGGCAGCTCCCAGGAATCGAGAGCCTTTTCAGCTCCCCCTTTATCTGCAGCACCCCGAAATGTGCGTTTTTTCCTCGCTCTTCCTGCACCCCCAGTGCCCGTGACTTTCCTCCACGACGTTTAGACTACCAAATCGCCCCCCCCTTTTTATTTGCAGGACCAGCTAGCCACCTCTCTTCACCAAGCCCACCTTCAAGATCTCTCTTTCCTGTTTGCTCGATCTTGATTTAGGTACTCGAGATAGAAATTCCCGAGTGAAGCCTTTCTTCTTTTCTTGAGATGCCTCCCTTCCCTCCACTCACAATGCCTCAAGAACTGGGGTAACTCAGGTGACCTCCTTTATCCCTAATTCCTTTCTATATTAGGAAGAGAGTAGTCTGCTCAGTGCCCCTTGCAAGTGATAAAGAGCTCTGAGTGTTTTAAATCAGCGACCCCTGTTAAGCTTCCTGGCCCCTAGAAGAACCCCACTATTTTTCTTACCACTGACAAAGCCTATGCTAAGCATAGTTGTATGTGGCGAGGACCCCCAGGCCCTCCAGCAAGCCACCCTCCATATTGTGGCTATGACAGCTAGGGGGAGGGGAAGGAAGAGGATTTCCTTGACAAAATAGCTTCTATACTGGCCACTTAAGCAAACACCCTCCATGAGTATAAGGTTCTTGGAGAATAATTGCCTTCATCTTGCCAAATGACACCTTTTATTTTCCTACCCTCCCTCCCCCAACTTTATGTACTCTGGGGGTAGCAGTAGGAAAGCTGTAACTGATAAGAGTCCTTCAGGCAGTGGTTTTGGTTGGAGTCCAGACTGATTATTTCATGACCAGCTAGAGAAATTCGCGAAGGTTCCTGTGACAAATTGAGAAATTTTTTGAGGAGTAATTTAGGGGGTGCTGGAGGGAGGAAATGAGCCCAGTGTTCTGAACAACTAATCACTGGGGAGAGGGGGAAACGGGTAGGGAGTGGTAGTGTGAAACGCAGTTGAAAAGTCCTGTCTCCTGCTTCTCTTTCTCCCTCACCCCCATCCCCCTACCATTTCCCCCTGTTGCAGGGTTTTGTTTATATAACTAAAGTTGTTTGGCTAGATTCTTCAGGTGAATTCCTTCTTTCTTCCTTGTATTACTGTTTTTGACTGGACGTTTTACTTCTATGAAGAGATCGATGATTGTTGTCAAATACTCAGTTATGGAATTCGCCAAAGTTTTAAACAAGTAGTTTTTGCATTTAGTTTGTAAGTGGGGGATGGGGGAGGGAAGTTGACTGGGCAAGAGATTTTCTTTTCATAAACTTCTCAAGAATAAGGTGTTTTTCTCCTCTGGAAAATGTGGCTAGAAATTAGGAATGTAGATAAACTTCTAAGTTTGTGGGTATTGAAGTTTAGAATTTGGGGAAGGTGGGAGTGGGGATTAGAGGAACAAGTAATGAAGTATGTATTATATACCAAACATATGTCCAGGCACAAGTGAAATGGACTCTTTATGAGCTGTTTGTGGCTCTGATTGAGTTTTGTAAATGTGTGAATGATACCAGTAATGTTGGCTTTTCATAAGGTTGCAGGAAAACTTGTGTAACTATGGCTGTGTGTACATTTTACACAAAGCAGTTTTGGGTTTTATTTTTGTTTAGAAACTAGGAAATGACATGGAGGCAGAATCTGAGTTATTTTTATCTTGAATTGAGTGTTCCTGTCACACCTAATGCAAATTTCTACCCAATATTTAATTGGGATAGGGGTAGGCAAGAGAATGCCAGCTGTTTTTGATCAATGTCAGGTTCTTATTATATACATATACCTTTTTAGAAGATTGAGGATAAAGGGTGAGGCCTAACTTGACCTGATGCCTTTTCCATACACTGTCTTTTGTTCATTTAGTAGTTGTGGCATCTAGAATGATTACCGCATTTAGGAGTCAGGGTGTGGGGGGTGGAGAGGGAGAGGAAAACAGACAAAGAACAGCAGGGTGTTCTTTCTTTTTTTCTTCCCCTAAGTGGCTTATTTCATAGCTTATTTTTAGTTAGAAGATGAAGAAAGGCAAAGATGCTTTGGCCTTCTGTTCTTTCCCTTCCTTCCTCCTTTCTGACAAAAGAAAGCAGAGGCGCTTTAAAATCATAGATCTGAGATAGGACATAAGTCTCGGGATTTAAAAGGCAGAGGTTATCTTTGTTTCGTGTTTGTTATTATCTGGGCTAATGTAGTTTGAAAGTTAAAATTTTCGTATTTCCTTTTGTGTGTGCATGTGTGTAGTGGGGTGAGAGATTTTTGTGGCCTCCTTTCTCTGTTGAATTCACATTAGTAGGCCCAAATGGAGCCAACAATCTCGAGCAAGGTATATTTAGCAAAAAAATTTAGGAGAAATTCCCCAACCCACTACTAAAATGAGCACAACTGTGTGAAAAGGCCGGGAGTTGAAAATGAAAGATGGTGGAGAGGAAGTGAAAAAGGTCTGAAGGAATGTACTTGCTTTTTGGCCCTCAGTGTCCCTTGATGATTTCTTTGGTGTGGAGGCCTATGGCTGGTTTCATTGCAATCTCCTGTTTCAGCCCATTTTTGGATGTCTCCTGAGTGTAATTATGCCACCACAATTTACAGCCTGGCAGGGAACCTGTATAGTAGGAAAGTAGCAGTGTGGGGGTAGGGAGAGAAGAGGATGTGTAACTAATTGGCCACTGCCTTCTTCCACCTCGCGAGGTTCTTTCAGTGTCTCTTTCGACTCTGGTGGTTTGGAGTTGGTGATATTTCTTTTGTGACGGGTCGGTAGGAGGAGAGCTGACTCCCAAGTTATGCAGGGAGTGAGTGTTTTGCACCGATGCACTTAATAATCTGGGCGATTATGTTCTGAAACTCTGACTCATTCATTGTTTCTCTTCTGAGCCTTTGCTGAGGGTTGTGCAAACCTCTCCAGGAGCCTAGAAACTGATATACATGACTTTTGGGCCCTGTAAGAATGTGTCCCAATCAAGAAACTTGTAATTAGCCCAAATCCTGTGGAATGGTCGTGAATAGTGTGGCCATTAGTCTGCAGAGTCAGGTAGATTGGTGAAACTGTGCTGTTTCCAGCCTGGCAGCCTTTGAGGTTTCCATCTCAAACCAGGCTGATTATTTAGATTGTCTGAGAACTGGGACTCTAGTGACCTTAAAGCGTGATTTGCCCTAAAGGAATATCGGTTTAAGTTCTCCCTGGTGGAGGAACAAACAGCTCAGATTACACGGGTTTCCTTGTCGTTGGGGGTTACTTGTCTCACCCTGTTGCACAGCTTGGTGATCCTTTTATCTGTGAACCAGTGGCCCCTGCTGAAGGCTGGAGCTGCTTGTTTTGGAAAAGCGTATGCAGGCAAAAGGCCGCAGGCACAGCTCCTCACAACTCATTGGCTGCTCTGTTACTACCCGGAAAAGGAGGAGGGGAGGAGCTACCAAACAGCTGATGGAGTGTGTGGCCAGAGTGTGTTTATATACAAAAGAAGTAGGGGCTGGGGAGGCTTTGTGAGTGGTGTTACAAGATCAAGTGTATTTTCTAGGAGTAAAAGGAGAAGAAAACCTCACCTGCTAGAGTGCAAGAAATGTTCAAGGTTAAATCAGAAAAGTGGATCTGATAGTAATGGGTACTTTGCATACTCTATATTTGTGATTGGTGCGAGATTTTGGAACTAGTTTTATAACACCAAAAGTTTTCAGATTCCCTTTTTCAGAGGGAGTGCAGTAACTTAAAACAGGATATGTTGCTACTTTAAGTGTACTTGACTGACTCACGCAGGAATTCAGAAGTATGATAGAAATGAAAGCTTCCCTACAAAAGCTTTAAGAGGGCTGAAAAGGGGCCGTGACTTATACTAAATTCATTACCAGCATTAGCGAATCTTACAGAATGCTGGGTATCTGTTTAAGGGTTTCAGAAGCTTTCAGTAACAGTTCATTGCAGTTCATCCCCTCAGACAAACGTTTGAGTACCACCTTTGTGCCAGGCTTAGTGTTAGGCGTTGGAGGTTTAGTAGTGAAAAATTCAGTGTGGTCATGATGCTTATGTAACTTGTGAAACAGATTTTTTTTTTTTTTTTTAAATCAAAGTACCAGCTGTGTACAGCAGGTCAGCACAGTATGTATCACCTTTTTGAATAACTTGTATTTACTTTCAGAATTGACTTTTCAAGGAATAGAAAGGTTAAAGTGTGAATTTTATGCGATGGCATGTATGCGAAATCAGTGTTCCTGTTATTTTAAACAGGGGTCCCCAAGCCCCGGGCACACACTGGTAATGGTCCATGGCCTGTTAGGAACCAGGCCGCATAGCAGGAGGTGAGCAGTGGGTGAGCGAACAAACTGGTCCCTGGTGCCGAAAAGGTTGGGGACCACAGATTTAAAAGATAGATGTTAAAAATGGAAACAAGAAACATTAAAATTTGTAGCCATTTGTCTGACATCAACTTTAGTATTTTGCTGTTAATCAGTAGTTATTCTATCTCCAAATTAGTAATCTTTAATGTTACTCTTTGATTTGTGCTCAAAGTGTAGACAATTGTGTAAAGTTTTAACTAGCTCCAGTGCCATTTGGGAACCTGTGTTTTGCCTTTTATTTCCTGTGGCCTCAGTGAGCTGATGAGGTAGCAAGCGGACCAGTTTAATGGTCTGTAAGCTAGAAGTTAAAAGTTTTGGAATCTCTCAGTGTTCTGAATTTGTCTTCTCTGCCTAGATTTTGGTGACAAATATAACATACTGGTACTTATTTTGGTTAATCAGAAACCTACATGAGTAAACAGTCACAGCTTTAGGACATCTGATTCCTGCAGTACAGTTCTCATAAGTTGCATGAAAGCCTAAAAATTCAACTTTTGGGGACAAAAATCTT